GCAGTAGTTTGGTGAGTAAAAAACGATCGTCTGTGGATGTGTAGCTGCTGTTGTGCCTTTCTACCAGACACAAACTCACTCAGAGAGTTAGTGTTACTATTTTGGTCATCTAATTTCCTCTGTTATAAAGTCAGATAAACTACATCTGATATAACCAGTTATTATAGTTTTTTGTTGTTGTTGTTTTTTAAGGATTATTACCTCTAAGAAAAAACTGTCAAGTTTACAAGTTTCAGATGAAGTCCAAGTGAACTTGGATCTGAGTTGCTTTTATGTGTAAGACACATCTGAGCTCTTCAAACAGTCCTTTAGGTTTGAGAGGAGGGGCTATAGCAGTCTGTTTGCTCACTGTGTGCCTTTGGAGTGTCAACCAGGAAGTCAATAAAATGTCTGTGAAATGAAACTCCAACTTAACACATGCATTACATACATAAAGAAAAATGTAACATCTTGGCTAATAATTCTGCTGGTTTATATTTCTTAATATATGATCTTAACATTCTGGTTGAGTTCATTTTTATGTGTATCTTTTTATAGTACATTCCTGGAAGCAGCAGAGTGTGCACGCAGCCACGAGGAGATACTAACTCTCAGGTGAACCCTTATGAATCTTTAGGTTTTTAATGTTTTTGATATCTGAGGTCTGGTATAACAACACCGCCTACTATGACCTCAGTAATACCTTAGCGCTTAGCAAATCTCTTTTAAGCAAATATCTATTCTAGTTTTGTCATTATAAGCACATACGGATGGCTGTTAAACCCCTGGCATCCAAAACTCTGGGAAGTTTCACATTTTCCAGGAGCTGCACAAAAAAACTGTACCAAATAATTCCATGTGTAATTATTATTTTTAGGATTCATTATTATTATTAATAATTAATCATTAGTTAATTGATACAGTTACAAAATATAACAAAATATCTCTAATAAATACAAATAAATCTAATTATAAATATTCCAGTATATTTCACAAAATTAAATGTATATAGTCGACACTGAGGTTTTGTTTGATATTCATCGCATTTATTATGTTTTTGCTGTAGTTTTTTTGACACTTCACAAATAAACAGGACCCTATTCTAGGAAATATGTTAAACTATCTCTGCATATTAAAAAAAGAAGAAAAGACAGAAAACCCCGTAATGTTAAAGCCAGAAATCACACAAACAGACAAAAAACCTGTCATAATTATTGTGTTTATTATTGTCTTTTATTTTGTCTCTTTATTTCTAGAATACGTAGTTCTTCCATCCTGAGTGACTAATGCACATTTATTATTCAAGTTTTAGCATTTATTCAGTGTAAGTTATGACTTGCTGATGCTGACCGTTATAGATCACTACAATATTTAGCATAACAAGTTGGTCCTAATATCAAAATGTCCCTCATTGTTACACTGCTGGGGAAGCGAGATTTGGAAAAACCATTCACCACAATAACTTAAAGTTATATATTTTTAAGAAAACTTAAAGAAAAGTTACTTAAATATTAAATTTCTTTATGTTTTTGTTAATGATTAATAGAAAGTTGAAGAATTTGCATGTCTTTAAAAAATAGTGTCTGGAAGGCAAAATGAGTTAGCAGAATTTACATGCTTGATTTTTAGAATCACTGGCACCTGAGTTGGCTAGATACGTCACCAGGGACCCAGTGGGTAGTAAACGGTTAATAAAACTATTTTTACTATCAGCAGACAACTCTTGGCCTGCATTTGTAAGAATTAATTGTTTTCCATCTTATGCATATGAATGCACTGATGCTGGATTTAGTGATGAGATTACAAACAAGGCAGGCAGTTGGTGTTGGTGTAAAAGAAGCCATCTATGTCCACTGTGAGC